CTCCAGGCTGAGCCCCCCCAGCTCCCCCAGCCGCTCCTCCCCAGCCTTGGGCTCCAGCCCCTGCCCCAGCCTCGCTGCCCTGCTCTGGCCACGCTCCAGCCCCTCCATGGCCTTCTTGGGGTGAGGGGCCCAGCGCTGAGCACAGCACTCGAGGGGCGGCCTCACCAGTGCCCAGCACAGGGGCACTCTCACCTCCCTGGTCCTGCTGGCCACACTGTTCCTGATACAAACATTATCCTGATACTACACTTAAGTAGTCTCAGTGCTGAGTACCAGCTTCTTTACCTGGCTTCCCTTTCTGATCTTCTGTCTGTAAATGTCAGTGTGCTGCGCCCCAATGGCCACCACCGCATGGAGTTGAACTGTTTATCTGACTGCTCTGAATGCCACCGGGTGGCAGGGCAGCTAAAAGTTGAGCGTTACTGGAAAAAACATTGAGGATCTAAACTGTTTTGTCTTTTTACCAGGCACGGGGTTAGAGGCTAAGCAGTAATAAGAACGGCCAGCTGTTTAGGAATAGCTGCAAGAATTTTCTTCCATAAAGATGATACCTCTTCTACTTAGCTATATACCAAACTAGTTCCTGAGACCCTCACATCCACATTACTTTCAAGGTAGCTGTTTAGCTGTCAAGCCAGAGAAGATACTGGGCAGGGAAAGGCGCTTTGAGCCGAAAGAGATTCTCAGCGACTCAGGCAAAACTGGACTATGAACGCCAGGGAACAAACTTGGAGTTGTGTTCCCCTTTGCTCTATTACAGACCTCACCAGGAGATCCAGTCCCACTTCCCATGTCTGGAAAAGCTGTAAAGCTGGCATGGAGAAGGAGGTCCCACCAATGGTAGGCTGAAAGCACACAAGCAAGCGTAGAGATAGGCATAAAGTCACAAAGTGAGCAAAAGAAAGTGGTTCAGTAAAATAATGAAGCCATAGGAAGCAGAGGATAGGTGCAGAGAAAGCTAGGTGGCATCTGAGCAAAGGAAACCGAGCAATGAAACGAAAAAGAATAAAACTGAGCATAGATTATGGCACAGAGAGGTGTCTCAATGGGAAATGCTGTTCCTTGAGAGGGAGAAGGCAACCAAGAAAGGCAGAGCTTAGGAAGATTAAACAGGCCAGAGTCAGCTGGCCGTGGAAGAACATTTGGGGAAGAAGGTATAGGAGTAACTCTGTTGACTGGGAAGCCGTACAGTACTTGCTGCACCCTTTCAGCAAGGCCAGGGATGGCCCAGGGGCCTGCCTCCACCCTGAACCATTAGCCTGCGGAGCTGCTCCGTGCCCGTTACCTGTGCTCCTCACCCAGCGCGCACCGAGGCAGTCCTCCAGCGGTGACCTCACACGCAGCACAAAATGGAGGCCTGCAGAACAAGGCAGTTCTTTAACCTTTCCCTGCAAGCACTTTCTTATTGTCCTTTCAACCCTCAGCAAGCAAGGCCTCCTAAATTAAGTCTCTCTCTTTTCTCCCATCCTTATCTCTGTGCAAGTGAGAAGGAAACATTTTATTAAAGCACTTACTGGATTATGGTGCTGAGCATCTGCTTTGCTGCCTTTTCCTTTTCCAGTGGAGCCAGCAACACTGCTGGAAGGAAGCAACCTGCTTCCTAGAAGGGAACCAAGCACAGAACAATAAAGAAATAATCAAAAGGGTATCCCAGGAGCTGCACACATAGCTGGTTTTACCCCAAACTTTTCAGAGATCTGTGGCTCATCCACAGGTAAGAGTGAAAGGAACGTATCTACACCCAACTTGACTAATGTTACCTTGACCTACTTCTCATTCCAGCTTGAAACATGAGGAAAGTGACTACTTGGCTTTCATTTCATTCAAAAAAATCATTGGCCACTCGTTCCAGACTGTGTTTCAATGCCACAGCTGTTCTGGCTACAGCTTCTTGCCTAAAGCAGCTATGTCCATAGCTATCTAACGAGTACTGAAGGCATTCTCCAACTTTCACAAATGTTTCCGTCAGTCCCGTTTTCAATTTCTGCATACACAAAAAATAGTTTAAAAGAATACAGCGGGTTCCAGCAGGTGACAGCATCACGCAGTCAAGCTAAGAAATGCCATTACTGAACACATCCGTGCAACCCGAATGCCTCGTCCTTAAGAATACGCTTTGTGAAGCAGAGTCCAATTTTATGCTCTGACAGTGTTTCTCTTCCTCCTCCTCCCTCTGCCTCCTCCCTTACGATTCCCCCATCTGACCTCAGGGTTTGAGGAATTTGCCTATGTCATCACATATCAACACCATGGCAAAACCAGGGATGAAATACTTTGCAAAGTTCACAAACTTAAAACGTTCTGTTGCTTGCTGTAATCACCTTATATTCACCATACACATTTCACAAGAAATTAGTTTGACGTCTTTAACGTAACAGCCCGCCTTCTTACACCATTCTAATTTATTCTTAGGTGACCCTCCAT